TTTCTGCTACAGTCATGGAAAAAAGAAAGTACTTGTAATTCTAGGTTTTGATTATCTAAGTTAGGTTCTAAAATTATTCACATTCAGCCGGAAGTGTACAAAAACACATAACATATTCCACCATGTTAATTAATGTACCATTTATCAAACAAAAATGACAAATGAGTATTAAAAACCAAGTCTACCCTTGCTTTAAATCCTAAAACCTAAGGAAAAAGTAACAGTCATGTATTGCTTCTGATGTTTTGGAAAAACGAAAATTCTCTTTACAAAAGAAAAAATCTGGATTTCTTGTCATTTGTTGCTCAGGAGCCTGCAGGTTTGTGTTAATACAATACCAAAGAGAAAAGATGCAAGTCTTGCTGCTCACTAATCTGGGAGGGGTTGAATGTCATTTTTTCAAACTATTTGTAGTTTACCGTTCTAAAGACAGAAAAACCTTTACAACACCGCCAGTCATCCATGAACTGAAGCACTGATGGAAACAAAAGTGGGACAGAATTCTTCCATACCATGTAAAGTAATACAGATAAAGACATATTGAAGTTTTTGCAATTAAATGAGGTTCTAAAAGCTGTTCAGTCATGGTTTTCCACACACAACTTTTCCAATTGCTCTTTGTTTTGTTTAATAAACAGTGGCTCAGCAGAATCAGTGAAAAACTGTTGCACTTGTAACTTAACAATAGCGGTGCGAGCCCAGCCTGCAGCGTAATGATGTCATTAAATAAAAGACAGGAAAATTGGAGGAGCTAAATCTACTTCTACTTCAAACCTTCTGTTGAAACTTGGTTACATTTCAATCATTTTAGAACCTGACGATGACTAGATCATTTTTATTATGTACTGATGCATAAAGCCCACCGCTGATAAAAGGGTGGACTTTATCTTTTCATTACATAAATGCAGGATAGGGTTGAGCTCAAGGGAAGGTCAAAACTATATCTGCATTTTATACATTAACTTGATGCTTCTCTAAAATGTCAATTTGTTAATAAGAATAAAAATAATGCCAAAAATCATATGGTTGAAATAATGCCTGTGCTTTTTCCTGTTAGTATGTGTGTTTTATATATAAACAATCTGCTCTCCCTTTAACCTCCTCTTGTCTCGGTACAATGCCATGCAACATCAGTCCCCTCACTGGTCCTGCAAAGTGATAAACAGATTAACACCATCTCCATTATTTAACTGTCAAATTAGACTGAGGTGAACATTCCTATTGTTACATGAATTAATAAATATGTTTCTTTACAGCCGACCAGAGATGTGAACTTTGAGAAAGTCTTTAAAAACAACAAAGAAGATGGAGCCGAACAATTGCCTACAGAAACCAGAAAGGTACCTTTCAGTTTATCATTAAAATTTTTCAAATGAGAAGCAAAAGTGGAATGAAATTTATTGGATGTGTCAAACTTTTTTAACAAATAAAAAACTGAAAAGTGGGGCGTGCAAAATTATTCACCCCCCTTGCGTTAATACTTTGTAGCGCTGCCTTTTGCTGCAGTTCCAGCTGCAAGTCTCTTGGGGTATGTCTCTATCAGTTTTGCACATGGAGACACTGAAATTCTTGCCTATTCTTTCTTGCAAAACAGCTCGAGCTCAGTGAGGTTGGATGGAGAGCGTTTGTGAACAGCAGTCTTCAGCTCTTTCCACAGATTCTCGATTGGATTCAGTTCTGGACTTTGACTTGGCCATTCCAACACCTGGATATGTTTATTTGTGAACCATTCCATTGTAGATTTGGCTTTATGTTTTGGATCATTGTCTTGTTGGAGGATAAATCTCCGTCCCAGTCTCAGGTCTCTTGCAGACTCAAACAGGTTTTCTTCCAGAATGGTCCTGTATTTGGCCCCATCCATCTTCCCATCAATTCTGACCATCTTCCCTGTCCCTGCTGATGAAAAGCAGGCCCAAACCATGATGCTGCCACCACCATGTTTGACAGTGGGGATGGTGTGTTCAGGGTGATGAGCTGTGTTGCTTTTACGCCAAACATATCGTTTTGCATTGTGGCCAAACAGTTCGATTTTGGTTTCATCTGACCAGAGCACCTTCTTCCACATGTTTGGTGTGTCTCCCAGGTGCTTGTGACAAACTTTAAACAACACTTTTTATGGATATCTTTGAGAAATGGCTTTCTTCTTGCCACTCTTCCATAAAGGCCGAATTAGTGCAGTTGTACGACTGATTGTTGTCCTATGGACAGACTCTCCCACCTCAGCTGTAGATCTCTGCAGTTCATCCAGAGTGATCATGGGCCTCTTGGCTGCATCTCTGATCAGTCTTCTCCTTGTTCCAGATGAAAGTTTAGAGGAACGGCCGGGATTTGGTAGATTTACAGTGGTTTCTGATACTCCTTCCATTTCAATATGATTGCTTGCACAGTGCTCCTTGGGATGTTTACAGCTTGGGAAATCTTTTTTTATCCAAATTCAGCTTTAAACTTCTCCATAACAGTAACTCGGACCTGCCTGGTGTGTTCCTTGGTCTTCATGATGCTCTCTGCGCTTTGAACAGAACCCTGAGACTATCACAGAGCAGGTGCATTTATACAGAGACTTGATTACACACAGGTGGGTTCTATTTATCATCATCAGTCATTTGGGACAACATTGGATCATTCATAGATCCTCACTGAACTTCTGGAGTGAGTTTGCTGCACTGAAAGTAAAGGGGCCCAATAATATTGCACGCCCCACTTTTCAGTTTTTTATTTGTTAAAAAAGTTTGACACATCCAATAAATTTCATTCCACTTCACGATTGTGTCCCACTTGTTGTTGATTCTTCACAAAAAATTAAAATTTTATATCTTTATGTTTGAAGCCTGAAATGTGGCAAAAGGTTGAAAAGTTCAAGGGGCCGAATACTTTCACAAGGCACTGTATATACACACACCCTTTCCAAAAAATTAGAATATCATGGAATTCCATTCAAAATGTTAATCTTTAATAGATGATAGATTCAGGGCCCACAATTTAAACAATTTCAAGTATTTGTTTGTTTATTTTTACATAATTTGGGCTTCCAGCTCATGAAACCCACGAAAACAGGATTTCAAAAAATTAGAATATTGTGAAGAAATCATCCCACACTACTTCTCAGTTTTTTACAGAAAAAAAAAGAAATTAGGATCACAACAAATCAATCAAAATATGGTACTTTCAAAACGAGATGTCAGTCTTCAATACTTGGTTTGGAATGCCTTTATCTTAATCACTACCTCGGTGCGACGTGGCTTTGAGGCAATCAGCCTATGGCATTACCTGGGAGTTATGGAAGCCCAGATTTCCTTGATGCTGTCAGCTCTTCTTTGTTGTTGGGTCTGGTGCCCCTCGTTTTCCTCTTGAGAATACCCCATAGATTCTCAATGGGGTTTAGGTCCAGCGAGTTGGCTGGCCAGTCATGCACTGTGGAATGGGCATCAAACCAGGTTTTGGTGCTTCTGGCAGCATGGGCAGGGGCCAGGTCCTGCTGGAAGATGAAATCTGCATCTCTATACAGATCCTCACCAGAAGGAATCATGAAGTCCTCTAAACCATTCTGGTAGACTGTTGCGGTGACCTTGGATTTAAGAAAGCAGAGTTTACCAACACCTGCACTGGACATTGCACCACAAATCATGACTGACTGTTGATATTTCTCACTGGACCTCAAGCAGTATGGGCTCTGTTCCTCACTCTTCTTCCTCCAAACCCTTGGACCTTGATTTCCAAATGAAAGGCACACTTTACTTTCATCAGAAACGAAGATCGAGGAACCCAACAGTTGTAGCTCATCTCCCAGATGTGTCTGAATGAGGTGATTTTTGAAGCTGTGACTCCTGCGTCATTCCACTCTTTCTGGATCTCTGCCAGATTCTGGAATCTTCTGTTTGATAATCTGCTGAAGCCCATGGTCATCTCTTTTGCTGGTGCATTTTCTCCTGCCACATTTTGTCCTTCCACTAGATTTTCCATTGATATGCTTGGACACAGCACTCTGTGAACAGCCAGCCTCCTTAGCTATCAACTTTTGTGGCTTACCCATCCTATGGAGGGTATCAGTGATGGTCTTCTGGCCAGTTGTTATGTCTGCAGTCTTCCCCATATTGAACCGAACTGAGACAATTGAACCAAACTGAAGCAATTTAATGACACCTGGGGAAACCTGTGCAGGTGCTTTGAGTTTATTAGATGATTAGTGTCACACTCAGTTTAAAACATTCATGCCCTGCAACATTTGGGCTGGTTTCTCCACAGTATTCAAAAATTTTTAAATCCTGTTTTTGTGGCTTTCATGAGCTGGAAGCCCAAATTATGTAAAAATAAACAAATAAATATTTGAAATTGTTTAAATTGTGGGCCCTGAATCTTTCATCTATTAAAGATTAACTTTATGAATGGAGTTATGGAAGTTAAACAACTTTTCCATGATATTCAGTTTTTTTGGAAAGGGTCTGTATATCTCCAAGACTGCATTGTTTAACTGTGAAATTAAACAAATGAGGTGAACATTCCTATTGTTACATGAATTAATCAATGTGTTTCTTTACAGCCGACCAGAGATATGAACTTTGAAAAAGTCTTTAAAAACAACAAAGAAGATGGAGCCGAACAATTGCCTACAGAAACCAGAAAGGTACCTTTCATTTAAGTTTTTTTTTTTTTTTTCACTTGAGAAACAGGTTTATTTGTGCGTGTGTGTGACGTTAACGATAGTTCTGTAGATTATTGCTCGTTCTGATCGTAGATATTGTTAACTCGTACCATGCTAATGGCTAATATGCTAGTCCCTCACAATCATTATACTCTCATTATAGACCCTTTAAACACTTCCAGCATGCATCACTGTCAAGTTTAAAACTCGCTAACAGAATTCACAAATGATGCTTGAAGTTTTGGGGGTTGCTGACTCGTTTGACCCCAGATACCACGGGACTTCTCCTTAGGTACCTGAAATAAAAGAAGTCAAAATAAACTTTCTATCATCCATCATTCATTTTTAGTCTCATTGAGCCACGAGAATTCGTTTTCAAGAGAGACCTGTTTAGGGAGCTGATGGGGGTTAAGCGCCTTGCTCAAGGACCCAGAGTGGGGCAAATGAGGGTGAGGGCATGTGTAGGTGCTTCATCTACCCCACCCACGTTTTTGATGTTGTCTGTACCGGGGTTTGAACCGGCGATCTTCCTATCACAGGCCCATCTTCTCTAACCTCTGCTCCACCACTTCCCCCATGGTGCCACGATTCATGATGTATTAACTAATTGTTATAAGAGTTGTATAACTATTTCTTAAAAAGGAGTATCTTTGATCTCATTTCCTCTTTAAGAATCTTTTACTCCAGCAATTAATCCCACAATTAAATCCCAATTAATTGATTTCAACAGCTATACTTAAGCCCAGTTAACAAAATCTTCTGTGTCATAATTCTCAGACCATTTAAGTCTTTATCCCTAGTCTATCTTTAAAAGCAAAAATTGAAGCGTTCAGTAACTAATTTCATGTCGTGATTACTAATCTGGCATCCGTCCGTCTGTCAGGCAGTTGACCTTCAGCCATTTCAATTTTACTCATCAGCTTTTCTCTTCATAAGGCTAACAAAAAGAAAAAATAAACTTCACGCACAGCTGTTTAAAGGTTTTCTTGTCCGTTTCCTCTGTTTTTATCTCTTTTAGGTCGTAATGATCCGGATTGTTCTAGAATTGTTTGCCATGCATTTCAAAATCATTCCCCTCACTGGTCCTGCTAAATGATGAACAGATTAACACCATCTCCAAGACTGCATAGTTTAACTGTCAAATTAAATGAATGAGATGAACATTCCTATTGTGACATAGTTAATGTGTTTCTTTACAGCCGACCAGGGATGTGAACTTTGAGAAATCCTTTAAAAACAGTAAAGCAGATGGAGCCAAACAATCACCTACAGAAACCAGAAAGGTACCCTTCAGTTCTTCATATAAAACTATTTTCTTTTCAGTTATGAAGCAAGAGACATGGCATCAAAGTGAGGTTGGGGTGGGGAGGGTTGTTTGATGTGCATCACTGTAAAGCTGACTCCATAATTACATATGGTCAGGCCCTGTTTAGACCTGACTAAGTGGCGTAAAACCATAAGACTAAAAATATAAAGAAAGAAAAACTTTTCTAGAGTTTGGTCTGAAATGATTGAAATAATTTGATGCAGTTGAAGTAGAAAAAAGTATTTGTGTAGTCCCTCGTTTATCAAAGTGGATCCGTACCTTGAAGCCCCTCGATACATGAAAAACCACAAAGTGGGAATAGTAGTACAAGTAGTAGTATGTAGTTTAGTATATACTGTATATCTTTGCTTATTTTTACTGGGTGTTGTCATTAAGTAGAAATAGATAAAATGACAAAAATAAATTTTCCCAAGAACATGATAGAAGAACGAGCCAAAGGGAACACCAACTTTTTTTTTTCATTCATTCAACCTTTATTTAAACAGATAAATCACATTGAGCCTCGAAGACTCATTTACAAGTGAGACCTGTTTGGACAGACAAAAAACAGTGGTTAACTGGACACATGTAGGAGTTGGAGGCGAAAAAAATTCCTATCAGACTTTTTTCAATGCAAGAGTCTCACAGCAATTTCACAGACAGACAGAGCAGCAAAGCAAAGTGGAGAGGGAGGGAGAGAAGCATCCGATCTCGTGGGGAGCGAGTGGTCAATGTTTTACAGAGTTACATCAAAGAACGGTTCCTGCAGATGGTACATCTGTCATTCTGCTGTGCAGACAAAGACCCAAACATTCTGTCAGAATAACTGAGCAGCACCAATGACCTTCAAGGTTTTCCTCCACCAAACTGTCACACAGGTCGGGTAATTGGCTCCTTCGACACCTCTCTGCAGCCAACTCACATGGAGCATGTATAGAGGGACAGAGGACCACCCCCTGCTGCTCTGTCTTCCACTTCATTAATTGCTTTGAGTCCATCTCTCCAGGATTGATTATGGTTAGCTAGGATTCATTACAGCTGGAGGCTGTAAACCAGGCTTATTGGACAAACAGGAGCAGGGACCAGTTGCATCAAAGTCATTTAAGCTACTTTGAATGAATTGAAATATTTATACACATGCTCAGTCAGTATGCTTCATTAACTTTCAATGCTACATCACTAACTTGAGCAGCTGACTCACTTTGGCAGGTGTGGATGATTCTTCAGCCTGCATGCAATTCTACTGTTTGGACCAAATGTTTACTCGTGCACAATTGTTTTATTTAATTATTTATTTTACTCTTAACATCTAAACTAAAGCATATATGGTAATATTACAGGGTCCCTCATACAGATCACCACTTAGTGAGCTAATATAAAAATGTGGATGGATATAGACAAAAAACGTAACTGAAAGAATGCTTAATTAATTATATAAATATGAGGTCAAAAATTAGTGGTGTGTCAAGGAATGCTAAAGGGTAGGTAGTACAACAACAACAACAAATTGAAAGATTTTTAGAATTTGTAGAAATGTTTATTGACATCACCATAAATAAATGAATAAAACACCAACAAAAATGAAATATGTGGTCCACAAACTCATCCGAGGTTAAACAAAATTTAAAAAATATATTATTTTTATACCTTTTGGAGATCAGATCCTAATGTTTGTGACCAGTCACAGGAACATGGTTTTACATAGACTCCAAACATACATTAACCATTTTAGACCATCCTGAGCAGACTTTGTTTTTCAGATCATACGAGTAAAACTGTTAAATTAGTTTTTATTACTGACCGTGTGGAAAGAAGGAGCAGTTCAACTGACTCTGGCTGTTTTTATGGACATGCCAACTAAAATGTTTCTGCTTGGAGCCAAGAAAGTGTTGTAAACCCAACAGGCTCTTTAAATGTGGGGTGGGGGGTGTTTGGAGACTTATTTAAACTTTGACACAGAAAATATTCACAAATTCCTGGATTTCAGTATATTTTGCCTTTATGTTATCAAATCTGTTGACTTGTTGCATTAAGTTCTAAAGCAGTAGTTCTCAAACAACGTGCCACACATAAAAAGAAAAACATTTCTACAACAGCTACCTATTTCTAATCTGAAACTTATTCAAACTCGTCAGACAATCCGGTGGAATTATTGTCGTGGAGCAGAAAGGGGGAATTGGAAATACCCTCCATCCTTCTGTGCATGTTGAACATAATTTGAAAAATGAGCAATGTGCCGACTTCAGTTTTGGTGTGTGGCTACATATAGGAGTGAAAAAAGGTCATTATTAAAAATTAGGTTGTCACGTCCAAATCCAAGATGGCCACCACCACCACCATATATCTATGTAAACTGGCCACACCAATCGTATGAGGAAACTATCCTTTTTTAGTTTTCTTATTGCTTTAAAGGATAGTTTCTTCAAGTAAGTGGGGTGGCCAAAGATTAATCGATGGTGGCCAAGGCCACCATTAGCCACCCCCTGGCTCCTCCATTACATCTGGTGGTGGATAAAAATGCTACCTCCACTCGCCAGAATCTGTCACTGCCCTGCCTCAAACAAAAACACCTCTGTTCTTCTACACAGTTTAACTCCTATCCACTTGAATATCTTGCAACAAAAACCATACCTGCAAACTCAGAAGGGATGAAAATGATGACAAACCTAGCACCTGGGGGTGTAACTTCAGACATCACTTAAAACACTGGTGTATCGTGTTTCATTGGCACTAACGTTACGTTAGTTTTCATTTCTCTCATCTTATGACAATGACTCATTCTTATGGGGCAGCAATACGGATGCATTAGAGAAAGCCTTCCCGAAATATATTTGAGTTGAACCAAGTGGCATTGTTGGCAAATGTTAATACACAATTCACTGATGTTAGCTGACATCCTAGTGTCACAATCCAGCAAGAAGCGAGAGAGTTGAGAGTTGAACCCATTCGCAGTCGGAGATCAGGTCTCGGCAGGGAAGAGTTTGGACCACATACAGGAGGACCGGGTGGCTTGGAGAGGCAAAAATGACAATTAGGAGCCACACTAATGTAACACAGAATGCTGACGAGGCAGCAAAGCCTTACCTAGCCTTCGGGGGGGGGGGGGGGGGGTGCAGGTGCAGACAGAGCAAGGGGATGGATGAGGACAGGCAAAGCAGGACCAGATCATGACACTATGAGAGGAAAATGCTCAAGTATGTTTGGTGGCCAGATTACTAACTAAATACTAGCCGCTAATGAGGCGATCAGGAACACCTGCGGAAATAAAGCTGAAAAGCAGGTGTGATCGTCACATCCCCCCCCAAGGATGGCCCCTGACATCCCTAAAAGAGGACTCACCAAAGAAAAGGGAAGGAGGAAAGGGAAAACAAAATGGAACTAGAAAAAAACAGAGAAACAGGTCTAGGAATACGGGTCTAGGAACACAGGTCAAGGAAACGAGGGTGTAGCGCCAACGAGGGGAACAGGTCTAGGAAATACACACGGAAGAGCGCGGGAGGATACAGGAGTACGCCTCCAAAACCTGAGGGGAAGCTTGGAGGGGAGCAGGACTCAGACAGGACAACGGAACTTCGGCTCCTACGCACATGGAAGAGCATGGAGGGGAAGCACAAGCGACTCCAGAGCTCAGCAAGGAACACGGATGGAAAAAACTTCACACAAGGAGAAAACTCCAATGAGGACAACAGTCTCCAACGCACATGGAAGAGCTTGGAGGGAAACGGAACAGACTCCAAAACCCACAGAGGAGCGCGGATGGAAACACACTCCGGCGCCTGTGGCAAGATGCGGAGGGTTACAGGTTCATTCCTCCACCACCCATGGAAGAAGGCAGAGGGATAAAGGTTCTCGGTTCTGACTTGCAGACTGGACCTCCTCCTGCTGGGTTCAGTATGATTCGAGCTTTCCGTCACAATCTGGCGAGGAGAGAGCGTTGAACCCATTCGCAGGCGGATACCGGGTCCCGGCGGGGAAGAGTTGAGACCACATGAGGGAGGACCGGATGGCTTGGAGAGACAAAAATGATAACTAGGAGCCGCACTAATGTAACACAGAATGCTGACGGGGCAGCAAGACTTACCTAGCCCCCGAGGGGGGGCCCTGGTGCAAACAGAGCAGGGGGATGGATGAGGACAGGCAGAGCAGGACCAGATCGTGACACCATGAGAGGACAATGCTCAAATACATCTGGTGGGCAGATTACTGACTAAATACTAGTCGCTAATGAGGCGATCAGGAACACCTGTGGAAATAAAGCTGAGAAGCAAGTGTGATTGTTACACCTAGCTAGCATTACATGCTAACAAGCTTTCCTTTACAAATAACGTCATGTTGGAAAAGAACAGATTACGACACACACAACATTGCTAAAGTAAGATTTTTTTTGCCAAATCAAGTTTAACTTGCACAGCATTATTGTAGGCAGATAATGAGGCTTAGCTCAAAACTAACAATGTCCTACATTGGAAGTGACTAGTTATAACATAGAACAGTTTCCTTCATCCGTGGGAAAGATTTCCCTATCGTCTATCTTGGCCAAATGATGTGTTTCACCAAAGATGTTCTGTTGTTGATTGAAACCTTGTTGTTTCTTAAAGTCCGATCAGTGGGAAATTATGCCATCTACAATGCTTCTGACAAACAACACCCCCCATCCCCAAAAAACAACCTCTTCGGGTCTAGATGATTCACATAAATGACATATTTTGTTTAAAATCTGCACATTTCACTAAATACTGACAAGTTTTCAGGTATGAAAAACATTCAAGTTTATTTGCATTCCCTGTTCAATTCCAGTCCAGAAAAACACACATTTTCTTTTGGCTTTTCCCTCTTCAGGTGTCGCCACAGTGAGTCATCCTCCTCCATCTCACTCTGTCCTCACTCCAACTACCTCCATGTCCTTTCTAACTGCATCCATATATCTCCTCTGTCTTTTCTCTGGCAGCTGCAATTTTAACATCTTTCTACCAATATACTGACTGTCCTTCCTCTGGACATGTCCAAACCACTGTCCCTCCTTTGGACATGTCCAAACCACTGTCCCTCCTCTGGACATGTCCAAACCACTGTCCCTCCTCTGGACATGTCCAAACCACTGTCCTTCCTCTGGATATGTCCAAACCACTGTCCCTCCTCTGGACATGTCCAAACCACTGTCCCTCCTCTGGACACATCCAAACCACTGTCCCTCCTCTGGACATGTCCAAACCATCTCAGTCTGGCCTCTCTAACTTTATCTCCCAGTTGTTCAACCTGTGCTGTACCTCTGATGATTTCATCCCTAATCTTATCCATCCTTGTCACTCCTAAGGAGAACCTCAACATCTTCATTTCTGCTGCTTCATGTTCTTTCTCCTGTCTTTTTGTCCATGTCTCTGTCTCCAGACCATACAACACAGCTGGTCTCACAACTTTCTTGTAAACTTTTCTCCATCTTCTCCATCTTGCCTGGACTCTCTTTTTCACCTCTTTACCACTCTCCCCATTTTCCTGGACAGTGGACCCCAAGTACTTGAAGAAAAACGCTCATCTGAAAACTACAAACATTCACTATTCAAATCCCTCAGCGTCAGGGGGACATCAGCGTGCCACGTGTTGCTGTTCTTCTGATCTAAATTCCAAACTGAAAATATTTATCAAAAGTCTTAACTGTTTAAATTCTTGTCAACTCTAAACATATCTCATAATTCCACTCCTCCAGTTTAAAAGATTCTTGTGTTTTATAAAAACTTTTTATCCGTCTAGCGTCAGATTGTAAAGGCTTCATTCTTTATTCAGAGTTGGATCATTCAATAAATGGTTTAAATCATGTTTCGATTGTTCTGGGTTCTCCAATTACTTGGTGCTTAACTCAAAAGAGTTTCCCAAAGTTTTCAGATACATGAAAATGCTTGACTGGACCATTGCTATAGATTGCTGTATAATAGTTTGTCAAAGGGCATACATATAAAGCGCTGTCATTTATTTAGGAAAAAAAATCATGAAATGTAAATTGCCGTAGTTCTTTTATTAGTGATTGTGTTCTGATGTGCTCTCCATGTAATGACCAGATTCAGCTCTCAGCTGTTGATCTGATAAACAATGAGTGTGAAAAAAAAATTAAGAAATGTGCATAATGTTGATTGATATATTGTAGAGTTGTATTCGGTTCCAAAAAAATCCAACCCGGCCCCAGCCAGTAGCCATCATTTCCGAACCCAACCCGACCCGATGAATTAACAGTAATTACAGGTTCGAACTCGGAAAAAAAACCAGGCATTTTTAATTAAGCTTTGACTGCTTATATAGTTATTAACGGTCGGCGGACGTGCGTGGCTGAGTGAAGGGGGCAGAAGATCAGAGATGAGGGGTTGTTTGTCTTTCATGGCTGTCAAAGCGCATTAAATCCCTGCATCTGCCTTCATTCTGCATTATTCGGACACGGACCCTGCTCTGACATGTCGGATATTTTGTGATCTCACCTGTTTGGGTCGTCGGCCATGCGTCCGCTGAGTGCAGCGGCTGAATGAACGTACATTTGGGCTTTGATGGATCACTTCATGGCAGTATAGTCACATCTGAAGCTAAACTGAACTTTTTACCTCTTTCAAGGCCAGTCAGCGTGCAGTCAAATGGCTGCGTGCTGCTGATGATTGTATGGCAAGCCATGTTACCATATAATTGGATCGTCAGCGGATGCGCGCGGTTGAAGATCCAATTATATGGCGCGCACACCACCACCCCCTCCACTCCTATCCAGCACATAATTATGGCCCGGCCCAAATTCAGGTTTGGGATAGAAATGACAGCTCTAATATATTGTGGTGCCCCCTTTAAACAAGATCTCAAAACAGTACCAGAGTATGCCTTTTCTTCGTCTTGCCACATAATTCTAGGATTTTCAGATGATTGGGGGTGGCTGAGACAACAAAACCTTTAACTGCCTCTGTGTTCTGTCCACAGCCTCCCACCAGCATTTTGTCCCAGTCACCGCCACTTCACAGAGTGACCGAGGCCAGGCCGGGCATTGCAGCAGCGCTGAGCTCAGATGTGGACGTCTCACAGAGCATCAGAGCCCGGCTGGAGCCCGACGGGCCCAACGTTCAGCTGGACGAGTTCAGGAGCCAAGTCAAGGAGCTGCTGCTGACTGTGGAGCGGCTCAAAGCCCAGCAAATGTAACTTGATGTGCACAAGATCAGGATGTCACTGGGACAATTAGAACACACTGAAACAAAAATCAATCTGATGTGCTTTGCTGTGAGGTTAGAGATAGTAAAACAATCTGTAAAATTTGAGCTACTTACTGAGTTCTGAACAAATAATATCTTGCCTGTTGTTTTGTAACAACTTCAGTTTGTAGAAATGACGCTTAAATCTGTCAGGACGAGCTAACGGCTAGTCTGAATGCAGCTAAGCCCAGCGAGAAGCGGTGCAGTTTAAAACGTCACCGTTTCACACAAACGACCCCTCATACACCTTTACAGCACAGTCAGCACTACAGAACTCTGTGAATGTTTAAAAACACAAACAGCAGCAGCTAGCTGTTGCACTTGTTTCCACCTGGAAAACATCTTGTAGGAATATTTTACTTTTAATTTAATGCTAATGTCTAACTGTCAGTGATGTAAAGAGGCTAACTAATGTTGTAGAGTTGTTTTATGTCCCCAGCAGTTGTTATGAAAGTTGGTCCGTTCCAACTCTATCAACAAACTAATAATGAGATGCTTCCAAAGTGTATCTTAATATTATTTATTGTAACTTTCCTTTAAAGAATCAAATTTAAAAAACGGCAACGTCAAAGTTGAGCGTTTGCTTAACCAGTGGTTCCCAACCCTGTCCCTGAGGAACGCCACCCTGCGTGTTTTAGTCGTTTCCCTGCTTCAACATACCTGATTCATTGATTTAATTCCTCAACTTCTGCCGAAGCCTATTGATCACCAAATCATTCAAATCAGGTGTGTCAAAACAGGGAAACAGCTAAAACATGGGGGATGGTGTTCCTCAGGGACCAGGGTTGGGAACCACTGGGGAGACTGGAGGATTTGACATCCACAGCAGCAGCTTTTGTCTTGGCTGTGATCAGACTAGTTCTTAACTCATCAGTCTGTCAGACCTGAACTTTAATTCTTCAAACTGAGATCGTTCAAGGAGCTATCTACAGCGTGTAAGATATGAACAGTTTATAACTTGTAAACAGAACATGAAATATCCATGTAAGGTGGTAGCATTCAAAGCAGCAGATCCCAGGAAGAAGTTTTTAGTACTGTCTGCAGATGACAGCTGTGCTGATGGCAAGTTTGTGTTTCCAGGAAAGAGATAGCGGAGCTGCGAGGAGAGCTGTACGAGGAGCGACAGAAGCGTCTAGCTCTGCAGGTAGCTTCAAACATACCGAGCTGTCTGCACTCACTACTTCATCAGCTTGAACAAACATGCACACTCATGGTTCACACACAGCAGCTGAGAATATTTACCATGCAGGAGAGACCTCTGCAGCTCTATTGTACACATGCAGTCGATGTTACTGAGACCCTTTTGTTCAATAAAACAACCCACAAAGATCCCTGAAATAAATTTAAAACGATAAAATAAAATAAACGTACAAAAAAATCAACTACTGAATATCAGTCATTGCTTATTAAATGAAACTGGCCGTGATCAATTGGATGGTACCTCTGACCACAGAGACATGTTAAACTCAGGCTTGTCCTGTAATCAGCTTCTCAGGTGTCTTCAGTCTTCAATCAGTCACCGTCTAAAATCTTGGAGAAAATAGATTTTAGACAACTAACCAAGTTTTTGAATGTAAATGGAATTTTTGAGATTTTTCAGTCAGGATTTAAACAACTGTTCAGCACAGAGACAGCTTTAGTAAGGGTCTGTAATTACATTCTGCTAGCGAATGAATGGTCAGTCTGTGATCCTGGTACTCCTCGACCTTACCGCTGCATTTAACACTGTTGATCACAGCATCCTTATGTCACGGCCAAAACACTGGGTTGGGATTACAGGGGTGGCGTTAGAATGGCTCCGTTGGTATCTGAGTGACAGGAGTTTTTGTGTTAACTTTGGCAATCATTTATCTGCTTCTGTCCCTCTTTCCTGTGGGGTCCCACAAGGCTCCATTCTTGGACCCCTTCTGTTCTCATTGTATCTGCTTCCCTTGGGGTCTATCCTGAGGAAACATGGTATTTTGTTTTGTTGTTACGCCGATGATTCTCGGATTTATCTGCCTTTAAAACCTAACAGTTCCTGCTCCATCCACCCTTTGCTAAAATGTCTTGATGACATCAAGACTTGGATGGCTGCGAGTTTCCTGAGTTTTAATGATCAGAAAACTGAAGTCATTGTGTTTAACCCAAGCTGTACCACTCTCTCTGATCCTGTAAACCTGCACTCCCTTCAGCCTCATCTAAAGCAGTCAGTTACCAATCTCGGGATAGTGTTAGACTCAGACTTTAAGTTTAATAAACAGATCAGCTCTGTTCTACAAAAAAGCTTCTTTCAGGTAAGGCAGATGGCTAAGCTTAAGTCCGTTCTGTCCAGATCCGACCTTGAAAAACTAGTCCATGCATTTATTACAACCCGGCTGGACTACTGTAACTCACTTTATATTGGAGTCAGTCAGGCTTCACTTTCACGTCTCCAACTCGTACAAAATGCTGCAGTTCGGCTACTAACAGGAACTCGCAGGTTTGAGCATATTTCACCAGTTCTGTCCTCCCTTCACTGGCTTCCTGTGTGTGTCAGAATCAATTTTAAAATTCTCCTGCTGACGTTCAAGTGCATTAACGGCCTTGCACCATCATACCTCTCTGACCTTCTTCATCCTTGTACTCCTTCTCGCGCTTTGAGATCATCAGACCAGCTGCTTTTGGCCGTACCAAAAACCAGGCTGAAGCTCAGAGGAGATTGCGCATTTTCAGTCGTGGGCCCTAAACTCTGGAACAATCTGCCCATCAACATTCGACAGGCCACCTCAGTCTCTGCTTTTAAAACTTTCATAAAAACACACCTATACTCATTGACATTTAACACAGGGTGATCAGACTTAGATTTAGTATTTCATTGATTCTGAATCTGTTTATGCTTTTGTTATTATTCCTATTTAACACAAGGTCATCAGATCTGATTTAGTATTTCATTGCTTCTAATTATGTTTTCTGTTTTATATTTTTATTCCATGTGCTGTAAATATATCTTGTTACTTTTTATTTGATGTTGTGATATTTTTGTTAAGCACTTTGGTAACAGTTTCTGTTTTAAATGTGCTCTATAAAACAATCTGACTTGACTGTGCTGTACCTTTGATGATCTCATAACTAATCTTATGCATCCTTGTCACTCCTAAGGTGAACCTCAACATCTTCATTTCTGCCACTTCCAGTTCTTTCTCCAGTCTTTTTGGATGTCTCTGTCCCCAGACCATACAATATAGCTGGTCTCAACTGTCTTGTAAACTTTTCCTTTGACCTTTGCTGACACCCTTTATGCCACAAATCACTCCTGAAGAAGTCACCTCTGCTGATCAGCAAAACATGGATGAGTTTGTGTGCTCATGCTGCCAGCCTGGATGTTCTGATATTAAACAGTTCTCTATCCGCACCACAAACTACGTACTCTGCCTGCTACACCGACCAGTCAGCTGTTCAGGAAGCCAGTCTCTAAACGGTGGGCAGTTATTACCCAAGTTCACTTCCATCTATTCCAGCTTATTGATTTATTGTTATTTTTGCTGTCCTCCAATTTCCAGAAACAACTTTGCATACGACTATCTTCCACAAGCAAACACGAACAACTGAGTTCTGTAAAATGCATAACCAGAGAGTTAACATCTTTGCAACCTTTTCATAAACCACTATTAGAAAAGTGTTCAGAAAATTCAAGGGATGATCATCAACTGAATAGTTATAATGAAGACACTTCCACCCTGTGGGGAAAGTCTGTAAAAAACACCCCCACCCTTTTACAACTGAAATGTAAGCAATTACAGAATTTAAATGACACGTGTCAGAGTAAATTATTTGAAAATGACCTGTAAACAAATCTCCATTCTATCAGAGCAAGAACCAAATACCTGCATCAGTTCTCTGTATTCAAACATCTTCAGAGGCTCATATAAAAATGTCACCTTTAAAATCTGTTTACCTACATTAAATTTCATATTTTGCTACCTGTTCAATAGCAATTTACTGTTGCTGTAGTAGCCCAGTCATTTGGAAGTTCTTTCTTACTACCCAGAGCCTTTAACAGCTCCTCTCTGAATTTTTCACAACATTCCTCAGCTTCCATCATTTGGTTTTTTTCTCTGATTTTACTTTTTTTCCCTTCTTAACAACCAACAACAGTCATTCTACACACAACCATCTGGTGGTGTTTGGCCACACTCTACCCTGCTACAAGCTTACAGTCTCCAATCTCCCTCAGGTTTCCTCTTCTACATAGAATGTAGTCGACCTGCGTGCTCCTTCCTCCACTCTTATAGGTCACTCTGTTTCTCCCTCGTTTGGAACTAAGTGTTGACTACAGCCATTTCCATTCTCTTGGCAAAATCCACCACCATCTGTCCTTCCTGTTTTATTTCTTTGACACCAAACTTACCCATCGCTTACTCATCCTGTTTCCTTCACCAACATGTCCATTCAGGTCTGCTCCGATCACCACTCTCTCCTCCCTGGGAATACTCTCTTTCGCTTGATCCAGATCCTTCCAAAATGTATTTTTCTCCTCCCCATCACAACCAACCTGTGGAGCATAACCACTGACAACATTTAGCATCAGACCTTCTACTTCTACCTTCAGGCACATCACCCTATCTGACACTCTTTTCACCTCTACTACATTCTTTGCCAACTCCTCCTTGAGGACCACCCCTACTCCGTTTCTTTTTCTATCCACACCATGGTAAAACAGTTTGAACCCTGCTCCAATGCTGCGAGCCTTGCTGCCCTTCCACCTGGTCTCTTGGACACATTAAACATCTACCTTCCTTCTCAGCATCATGTTAACCTGCTCTCTACCTTCGCCTGTCATTGTCCCCACATTTAGAGTTTCCACCCTCAGTCCTACATTCTTCACTTTACTCTTCTCCCTCCATCTCCTGACACCTATCCCTCCTCGTGGTCTTCGACTAACAGTAGCACAATTTCTGCCAGCACCCTGTTTGTCAACAGCACTGGTGGCAGTCATTGTTAACCCGGGCCTCGATTGATCCGGTATGGTTTCGCTTTGATGAACTTGCTTGTTAGTTTTAGCAAAAGTTTATTACATCGACTGCCCTTCCTGACACAACCCTCACCATTTACCCAGGCTTGGGACCAGCACAAGAGATGCACTGGTTTGTGCTCCCTGTGGCTGGTTTATGTCCCCATACATGATACCAATATATCGGTTGGGCTCGTTGTTATAAAACCTCCATCAGTCAGCACTTAGTTTAAAAGGGAAAATCGAGTAGAAAGTAAAAAAATAAAAATAAAACCTGACTGATTTGCTTAAACAAAAACTAGTAAAATAATTGTAAAACTTCTAGAATCCAGATTAAAGTGAGTTGACAAAACAGTAAAACAAAAAGAAAAAACAAAACCGAGCTACCTGCCTTTAATTACACCAAACAGAATCAACATTTTGTTGCAGTACTATGTTACAAACCTCTATCTATATTTCTATTTGATGTACTTTATTTTTATTTTATGTATTCTATCTGTTTTCACCAAAATGTTGTATGTATGTAGTTAATACTGTACAAACCCTGACCCTCACACCGACTCACTCAGGACTTTCTTTCTGCCGTGTCCCACAATGCAAAGCAGCAGGTTGATGTAGGAACTTGGCAGCACTGATGCGTCTCCTCCAATCTGTGTTTGGTGTATGTCTGTGTTTCTCGCAGATGGAGGTAGAGGAGCTAAAGCGAGCCATCCACCTGACGTGAAGCGTGTGGTCCAGGTGACAGCGCGCCTGCAGGCCAGCTGCCATCGTGTGGAGCTCCGAGGAGGAAGAGGACGGGGCTGGTAACCGAACAAACGAAGAGACGGTGGTGACTCCTCAACCACCTTCAGCACAATCCTTTTTCAATGACCTAAAAACAACGTATATATTTGTAAGATTTACATTTTGCACATATCGTGTTTTGGAGCTAGGTGTAATTAAAATACAGATGTATATTTCTGTTCTTTTTCTTTTTTGCCAACACGTCAAGCCAAAAACAAAAACCCAGAGGCCTTACTTGTAACTACTGTGCTGGACGGTTGTGCCTCTGCTGCAGTCCTTCCTGCTCCGCTCTCAGTGCTGCTGACTCTATGCAAAGCAGGGCCTTGTTTCCTCACCTGACTTCCATACTTCATTTTATGGTGCACATTTATTTGATTTTAAGGTGTATAATTTGAGTAATAACATTGTTCAGATTTTTTTGTGTAAGGCAGCTGTCAGCAGCTGCACTGCTTCACTTAGACTTTTCTGTCTTTTTATATATTTTCTAACATTCCTGTCCAGGGTAACACTAATGTGCCTGTAAAAAACAAAATAATCTATTAAAAGGTGTTTGTAATGTCATGTGGAGGTTTGGCAGCATGATATCATATGATGTATTTTTAAATCTGCGGACATGCCTTGTCAGATGTGATCACATCTTTGGAAACCAGTTATCTCCTCTTACAACCACAACCTGTTGACTGAATCTGGAACGGATCAGTGATCCTAAAGCTGGTTTATACCACCGGGGGGGCTCAGCTGTCATGAAATTATTTGCTGACATTCAGAATGATTTAATTGTTCCCAGAATCAAAATGCAGATTATTTTCCTGTTTTCATTTATTGTATTTAATAAATCGTACAATAAATGCATTAGTCCAGAATCTGAATATCCGATACACTGCGTAGTGTTGTGATGACGGGGGGGTCAGAAGTGTTTTCTATCAGTCTTTGCTGGATACTTTACGTGACCTAAAGTACAGATGATGCATGTTCAGGATGTGGAAGCTGGAAGTGAAGTTTTAAGGTTCTTAATTAATGGGAAAACGTTCCTTCACTGAAGTTCTCAAAACATTACTAAACATGAGACACATTCACATTTTTGGGGAAAGTTTTATTATTTTTGTACAAACAAAAGCAAAACTGATGAACTTGCTCCCTCCAGTTTCCTCCCTGCCCTCGCCCTTTCTGCACCGGCTCATCTGGAGGTCAAACGGTTTCTTTGAGCGTTCCACATGCAGTGAGTGTGATCAGACAACCAATAAAGTTCATGGCCAATTTTTAAAATGCCTGCCTATTTTAGCTTGTAAAAGTGTATTTTATGCCATGAATGTTTAGTTTACCACCTCTGCCCACATTAACTTTTATTTAAAACCAGACAACTGGTCTGTGGGAGAAAACCCACGCAAACACCCCAGGTTCAAACCAGGCATTGAACATAGGACTTTCTTATTGTGAGGCAACAGTGCTAACCACTAAGCCACCGTAGTACCCACCTGGACAGCCACTTCCACATTTATGATTTAATCTGCTGAAGCACATGCTTGAAATGAATATAGGCAAATTTGGACCATCCTTTGAGTTGTGATGAAATATGATCGCTGTGGTTTTTAGACGTGGACGTTCATGGCCTCAGATTCTCCCAGACAATATGAGACTTCTCACAGAAGAGCGCTTCCATCCAGATGTCAAAGTACAGCTTAGGCACTTTAGAGACAGGTTTTAGATCACACTCATTTCAGACATGTTCAGAACTAAGGCAATAATTTGGGCAGTCTTTGTGACACACATGAAAACAGAACCCTACAAACACTGGAAGACGTGTTGGCGAATGCCGTCGGCCAACAGTCCCAGCCTGGTCAGATTCTGACAAGCCCTCGGAAAGCTTTTACTTTACAAAACGTCAGCTTTTAAAATACTTTTTTATACCAAGCAAAGGTTATTTTATAACTCAGTGTTGGTCATGTGCTGCCATCCATCGAAAGACGGATCGATCATAAAAACCACACGTTGGGTTTTCTGAGAGCTCAACCATCAAAAGCTGCTGTGACCCTTTTCTATATTTCTGAGCCAAGATACAACAGTCATCAGCTGGTGTTCATTTTCCCATTTGTCAGCCATCAAACACCAAAACCAGCCTCGACTATCAATCCAGTGTCTTTAGCTAACATTCTTTAGTTTGTTGGTGAAGTAAAAGTTTGTTAAAACTGATCTTGTGTAAGAGGTACAACAATCAGGACATGAGACAAGTGGGTTACAGAGGTGTTTTCATCTAATTTAAAGTTACTATCTCACATCTGCTACTGTGTACCACAAATGGAAAACCTTTTTCTGTGTACTTTTTTATGTATAGATATCTCACTAATGTCTTAAAAAGGTGTAATTGTACTTTTAATCTTCTTAATGTTTAATTTCATGATCTAAGCTGCAGAGGGCTTTGACCAAGTCCAAACTCAGACTCTGACTTTAAAGAGTTTGACTTGCATGCAATGTGCCAATTCCTGCCATTGAATCTGTTAGTGCTTTTTAACTTTATGGCTGGAGATGAAATGAGGGTTGCGTTGGAGCAGAGGGTCTGAGGGACATTAGGAGGGCCAGTGTTCAGGCTACAGTTCTTCATGTGATCTCTGTAATACGATGTAACTTTCATATATTGTACTTTCCAGAGTCAGACACCAAGAACACAAGAAATCTCTACACATTTAAAATGTATATTCTGGTGATTTTGTTTACATGTTATATCTTTGCATGAGCTGAGATTTTATTTTATTTTTTTCTGAAATGAATAAATATCTCTTTCCCGTCACAGACTTTCTCTTATCTTTCTATAAACTGTGCAACACTTCTTAAAGTTTTCATCGTCCCACAACAACATTGAGGATTTTTGGTGCCTGAGTTCTTGAAATGCACGTCCTTCTAAAAAAATTTGTATATTGTGATAAAGGTCATTATTTTCCATAATGTAATGATAAAAATGAAACTTTCATATATTTCAGATTAATTGCACACCAACTGAAATATTTCAGGTCTTTAATTGTTTTAATACTGATGATTATGGCATACAGCTCATGAAAACCCAAAATGCCTGTCTGAAAAAATTAGCATATTTCATCCCACCAATGAAAGACAAGTGTTTTAATACAAAAAACGCCAACCTTCAAATAATCATGTTCAGTTATGCACTCAATACTTGGTCGGGAATCCTTTTGCATGAATGACTGCTTCAATGCGGCGTGGCATGGAGGCAATCAGCCTGTGGCACTGCTGAGGTGTTATGGAGGCCCAGGATGCTTCGATAGCGTCCTTAAGCTCATCCAGAGTGTTGGATCTTGCGTCTCTCAACTTTCTCTTCACAATATCCCACAGGTTCTCTATGGGGTTCAGGTCAGGAGAGTTGGCAGGCCAATTGAGCACAGTAATATCATGGTCAGTAAACCATTTACCAGTGGTTTTGGCACTGTGAGCAGGTGCCAGGTTGTGCTGAAAAATGAAATCTTCATCTCCATAAAGCTTTTCAGCAGATGGAAGCATGAAGTGCTCCAAAATCTCCTGATAGCTAGCTGCATTGACCCTGCGCTTGATAAAACACAGTGGACCAACACCAGCAGCTGACATGGCACCCCAGACCATCACTGACTGTGGGTGCTTCACACTGGACTTATGCAATTTTGGCATTTCCTTCTCCCCAGTCTTCCTCCAGACTCTGGCACCTTGATTTCCGAATGACATGCAAAATTTGCTTTCATCTGAAAAAAGTACTTTGGACCACTGAGCAACAGTCCAGTGCTGCTTCTCTGTAGCCCAGGCCAGGTGCTTCTGCCGCCGTTTCTGGTTCAAAAGTGGATTGACCTGGGGAATGCGGCACCTGTAGCCCATTTCCTGCACATGCCTGTGCACGGTGGCTCTGGATGTTTCTACTCCAGACTCAGTCCACTGCTTCCGCAGGTCCCCCAAGGTCTGGAATCGGCCCTTCTCCACAGTCCTCCTCAGGGTCCGGTCACCTCTTCTCGTTGTGCAGCGTTTTCTGCCACACTTTTCCCTTCCCACAGACTTCCCACTGAGGTGCCTTGATACAGCACTCTGGGAACAGCCTATTCGTTCAGCAATTTCTTTCTGTGCCTTACCCTCTTGCTTGAGGGTGTCAATGATGGCCTTCTGGACAGCAGTCAGGTCGGCAGTCTTACCCATGATTGCGGTTTTGAGTAATGAACAAGGCTGGGAGTTTTTAAAAGCCTCAGGAATCTTTTGCAGGTGTTTAGAGTTACGTCATTGATTCAGATGGTTAGGTTAATAGCTTGTTTAGAGAACCTTTTCATGATATGCTAATTTTTTGGGACAGGCATTTTGGGTTTTCATGAGCTGTATGCCATAATTATCAGTATTAAAGCAATTAAAGACCTGAAGTATTTCAGTCGGTGTGCAATGAATCTGAAATATATGAAAGTTTCATTTTTATCATTACATTATGGAAAATAATGACCTTTATCACAATATGCTAATTTTTTGAGAAGGACCTGTATTGACTGAAACATGTTAACTCTGCACAGGAGGAGAGTCTGTGAGAAAATGCACTTTACAGTGGTGATGTTCCTCCTTTCATGGTACCTCTGTTCACACCTAGTGACAACCCCATCCATCCATCCATTATCTTTACCCGTTTATTCCATTTTGGGTCATGGGGGTCACTGGTGCCCATGTCCAGCAGTCACTGTGCGAGGGGCGGGGTACACCCTGGACGGGTCGCAAGTCCATCACAGGGCCACATAGAGACAAACGAGACAACCATTCACTCTCTCACTCACACCTAGGGACAATTTAGAGTTACCAATCAGCCTAACATGCATGTTTTTGGTCTGTGGGAGGAAACCGGAGTACCCGGAGAAAACCCATGCATGCACGGAGAGAACATGCAAACTCCACCCAGAAAGGCCCCTGGACCGGGGTTTGAACCAGGGACCTGCTCGCTGAGAGGCAGCAGCTCTACCAGTTGCGCCACCGTGCTGCCCCCTAGTGACAACCAAAATGCTTAAATAGTTATGTTGTGAAAAAGCTAAATAAAAACGGAACTCAATGATAAATCGCATCAAGCCATATATTAACAGAAATGGAGCATGGTAAACATTAAATGGAAGCTGAGAAATGTTACCCGGTCCATATAAATTACGTTAAGAGCGGGTAATCGGCTCCCAAATAGCTTTTTTCTTCAACCATTTAGGAGCCAGTGAGGCTCAACGCTTAAAGGGCTACGCCTTTACTCATAGAATCTGGGGTTACAGTACGTAAGCAACGTTCTATTTCAGATAGGCTTCGCCCTTTAAGGCTGTTGCTGGTGGGTTAAGGGCGAAGCAGATGTGGTCCTCGCCTCACTGGGTCCATTCGAACACCATAAGAAGCGCCCGCTTGCCCAAAAAACATCTTGTCACTCAGCTCTCCATGTGCGTAAATACGCATTGCGTAATTACGTGCACCATGCACAGACGCGCATTGCGTAATTTACGCGTTCCGAGTGCATGAACGCCCCGGAAAGTTTTCAACAGAAAAGAGGAGAGGCTGAAAAAGGCCGTGAACAGAGCATATCCACGGCTTTTCAATATGAACAGATTAATAATAAATGAACTGATTATTAATCAAATGAACTGATTGATGACAGTAGTCATGAACTGATTAATAACCATAGAACAAGAACAACATTCATAACCTGTGACTGATAACATGTCACACTGTAAATGCATGCAGTCAGATGAGTTTAAACGAGAGTCCATGAAACAACAATATTCATTCTGTTAAAGCACTAAGGACAGAATGTGTCATGGAACAAGCAGACACATCACGTAAATAAAAGCGAATAAAAGAACAGGATGTTGACCACGCGGCCGCAGTGCAAATATCCTGCATTGACATACCATTATGCAAAGCAGTCGAAGATGCGATACCTCTGGTCGAGTGCGCCCTGAGGTTGTCAGGAGGCTCCAAATCTGATGCTCCCTAGGCTTCAGAAATGGCCTCACACAACCAGTGTGACAGGCGCTGGGTGGATAACAGGCGACCTGCAGATGCGTCTCTATAGTGCACAAACAAATGTTGAGTCTGACGCAATGCCGTCGTGCATGTTACGTAACATGTCAACGCACGTACAGGGCAGAGAAGATGGAAAGATGCTTCTTCTTCTGATTGTGGGGAGGTGAGAAAAAAATCCCTCCAACGAAATCGCTCTTGATTTAAAAGAGCTTGTGATATTTTAGGCAAAAACGCTGGATTAGGCCTCAGATCAGCTGAGCTGCCATCAGCCTGAATTCTGAGACATGGCGAAGCGACAGAGAGGGCAGATAAATCACTCACCCTCTTAACGGATGTTAAAGCCAACAGCAGGGCTGTTTTAAGAGACAAGAATTTAATCGGAACCTGATCTAGTGGCTCGAATGGAGCTTTGATCAGGGCTCACAGGACCAGCGTTAAATCCCGCTCAAAGGTGCTGGCCTATTTCTGGGTAACTCCTGATCACTCCTCCCACCTGGAGGAGAGCATCCTCCCTCCACGGCAGTTTCCACGGGCGCCCCGATAACAGGTGTCATAGAACTGGGAACCTTGGAGCGTTCACGCGCTCGGGAGCCACCAGGAGAGCTGTCAGTCCCTCCTCCTGAACTCGGTTCAGAGAACCCTGATATCAGAGGGAGTGGGGGAAATGCATAAAGAAGCATTTTGGGCCACGGGCTGTGAGCAAACGCGTCCACCCCTAGTGGTGGTTCGTCTCGCGGGCTCAGTGAGGACCATAGTTGACGAGTGTTCTCTCGTGTTGCAAACAGGTCCACGGCCGCTTTGCTAAATTTCTGCCACATCGGAGCCATCAGCTCTGGATGGAGGGTCCGGTCCCCGTGACGCGGACCGCACCTGGACATCACATCCGCCCTCCTGTTCAGAACACTGGGGATGTACACTGCTCTGATGGAGAGCAGATTTTGCTGTGCCCAACACAGCAGCTGTCTCACAATGTGTAACATTTGGGCTGCGCGCACACCCCCCTGCCGGTTTATGTATGCTGCAGTCACTTGTTGTCTGTGTGAATCAACACATGTTGATTCCGCAGCCCAGAGGCAAAGTGTTGAATCACATTCAAAATGGTGCAACACTCCAAAAACATTTATATGAGCTGCTGTGTGGGGTGGCCACAGCGCCCCCACAGCTCGAGTCATGCATGTGCCTTCCCAACCTGACAGGGACGCGTCTGTGAAGACTGACACATGTGACGTAGGTCTGCTGCCGGGAACTCCCTCCAACAGAACAAGAGCGTTTCCCAGTGTCTCAGGTCGATTCTCACGGAGGAGAGCACAGCGATCAACCGTCTCTTCTGCCTCACCGGGTCCACACGCAAACGAGCGGACCACCTCTGGAGGAGTCGCACCGTGTGAGCAGGTGACATGTCCTTAATAACTTCATGACGGA